AGTCCGGCGCCCCTCGGCGGGCAGGCGGGGAGGTGGGGAGGCGGGACCCTGAGAGGGCAGGACCCTGACCAAGCTGGAACCCGACCAGGGCACCCCGGACCAGGAAACCCGGACCTGGCTGGATCCTGACACGGGCAGGACCCCGACCAGGCTAGACCCCGAGCAAGGCTGGACCGGGACAAGCCAGGACCCTGGATTAGGCAGCAACCCGGGCTTGCCTAGACCCCGAAATAGCCTGGACCCTGGACTGGGCAGTACTCCAGACTAGCGAGGACCCCGACCAGGCGCGAAGTGGGATTATGGAATACTCCGACTAGGCTGAATCCCATGAGGACAGGACTTTGGAAGGATAAAAACCTCTCACAGGCAGGACCCTAAGAAGGACAGAACCCAGGAACAGGCTAGACCCTGACACGCAGGAGGAACTGTGGAGGGCCATTCAGTAAGGAAGGTCAGTCCCTGGGACTGGTCAGGACTCACAAAGTGCGGGGACCCCAACAGGTCTCTGAGAAGAGCCCGGACCTCAGTATAGGTCGATGGGGAGGGTCAAGCCCTTGGACCTTTGCGAAGTGTCATCGAGCAGGGCAGGACCTGAGGGCTGGTTAGGGCCCAGAGAATGCCAGGACAACTGAGGGAGTCCAAGTCAAGACAGGTCATGTAGAAGGGACAGGATCCCAGACCATTCCCACCGTGGGCTGGGACAAGGCCACATAAAGGTTGAGGCTCTCAGACAAGCCCACTGGGAAGTACTGGGACACCAGTGTCATCCTCAAACAGGTCAGGAGCCCTGGCACAAATCTCTGAGCTCTTTTGGGACCCTGAGACAGCCTTTTTGACCCTGGAAGGCTGGAATTCCGAGGTTATACTATGAGGAAGTCTCCTGACATGGTAAAGATCCCAGGTGACCAGGTCCTGTTAAGGAGGACCATCATTAGAGAACTTTGGGACAGGCCCTAGGCCGGGGGTGGGGGTGGGGCTGAGCTCTGAACAGCTATACCCCGAGTGCCCTGAAGGTGCCCTGGGTCTGCACAACTGGCCACCTGGACCCCCCTGCTGTGCAGGCTCAGGCATGTGAGAGCCTGGTCACATGAGCCCCACAGGTTCAAAATCCACTCTTTTCATGAGACCCCTCAGTATCCTGACATCATGAGTTTCTGGGTTAGCTCCACAGACCTTCAGCAGGTACCTGAGCAAGGATCTGGGGCCAGCGGCAAGGCAAGGTCAGGCTTGTCCTTCTGACTCTTAAGGATTTAAGGGCCCAGGGTGTCGTGAACAGGGTACTTGGTGCCCAGATCCAGAAAGTTGCCTGCTACCTGCTCTGTGCCCTCCTGATGGGCTATGGATCTCACATGCCTCTGCCTCAGTCAGAATCCAGCACCTTCACCCTCCTGCCTCTTCCCTCTCCCACAGAGTCTTAGGGAGCACCCAGTGTCCAGGGGTCTTCAGGAGTAGGCAGGAAGATGAGTCCAAGCTGGGGCACATGGCCCAGGTCCTAAAGTATAGAGTACTGGGGTACAGGGTAGCAAGTCGGCACCTTGACTCTGCTCCAGAGAGGAAGGAGAGGCGTTAGTGGATCTTGGGGAACAGTCTTGGTTTCTCTGAAAACTTCAAAGTGGCCTTTTATCTAGAGTATGTCTGTGTGTTTCTTTGGTTTGTAAGTGATCATGGAAAGAGAAGTAGGTGGAGATTTGATGCTGCACGAGGTATTAGCAGCTCACTGAGTGCTGCTCTTGATGAGGGTGGGCAGACCTTATGGGAAGTGTCTCTAGAAAACAGAACCCACAGGATAGGGCCTTGCCCAGCCCAGTGCCCAGAGTGGCCTCTGTAGTCATCGAGGGGTGTCTGTTGGTAGGCGAGTGGATGCCAAGTTGAGGGGTGAAGGAAGGCTCACGGAGGGATCATCTAGAGTTAGCAGCAGGGAAAAGCCTGAGTCTGAAGTTCTAGGCTCTCTGGACTCTAAGAGGCATCATTGAACTGGCTGGTTCTGGGATTCACTTCCACTTTATTTTGTTTGTTTTTTTGTTTTGTTTTTTGAGACAGGGTCAGTCTGTGTAGTCCAGGCTGACTTTGAACTCACAGTGTAGGCCGGGCTGGCCTTGATCTCGCAGCAATCCTCCTGCCTCAGCCTCAGAAGTGCTGGGATTACAGGCATACACCACAATGCCCATCAAGAAACCACTTTAGATTCCTTAACACTGTCAACTGAATGGTGCCCTTGAATGGGTCAGCCTAAGAACTTGCATTTCCACTTGTAGCCACACTTGGGACTTTTGTGCCAGTGCTTACTTCTGATTTTTCTTTTTTCTTTTCTTTCTTTTCTTTTTTAATATCCTTTACTGTTTTTAAAACTTCATTTGCTTTGTGAAGTTTTGGAAGACTAGAAATACTGAATATATATTCAAGTTAGATTAGGCTCTTCATTTTTCTGTTTCTGGGTATTAAAGGTACGATAGTGTGCAATGGTTGTATACATGTTGCAGTGGAATAAGTCACCCTGAGACTTGGTGCTCCAAGCGAGCACCAACAGTCGCCCTACGTGTTCTATGGGTCAGGGACCCAAGCCTGGTCTGGTAGGTCACCTTACAGTCTCTGTAGGTCAAGGACCCAGGTCTGGCCAGGTGGGTTACCCTGCAGTCTGAGACAGGGCCTCAGGCCTGGCCTCGTGGATCACCCTACAGCAGCCCCTGTGGGTAGAGCCCTAGGATACTGGCTGTGTGCCTCACCTGAGGTCTCTATGGGCAGTATACCTGTCTAGGCTCCTTCCCACAGCAGTTGCCTGAAGACCAGTTTTTCTTGGAACCTCTCAAAGGCAACCGAGGGGGAGCAAGTGACAGGAAGGAAGTCACAGGCTTTACAGCATAACTCAGGAATGGGTCGCATCACTTTGCTGAATGCTCTTTTCTAGACGTGGGACACATGGCCCCTGTGAAGACTTGAGGGGAAGAGACCCCACAGGGTGAGCATGCCAGGAGGTGGGTGGGGCCTGCAGTAGTATTGTAAGCCTGACATCAGGTTGGAGGTGCTATGTGGCCCACACCCAAGAACATGCTGTGAGCAAGTCAAGAGTGCGTGTAGAGCGGTGTGTTCCAATGGGATGCTGTCACAGCTGAGATCATTTTCATGCATGAACCTTATGAATGAGGGAAGATAAGTTACAATTTTAAAAAGTACCTAGGAATTCTGACCACCTAGAATACCATGGTAAGCCATGAGACCCCTCCAGATTGAATCAGGAATGTATGGTGCTGAGTCTTCTAACTGCCCCAGGCAAGGGTCTCCTAGCATTATTCCTTCCACCTGTCTGGTCCCAAAAACTGACCTTTGTAAGGATTTTTTCTTAACCATTTTCATTATGTGGAGAAAGTGTTTTTCCTAGTACTTTTCATATTGTGTGCTTGGTTATGTGTCCTCTTTGAAATAGTGTACAAGACATGAGATCCTGAAGAGTTTGGGGTATTTGTACCCTTCAGAGTATGATGCTCCAGAAACCCTCTGCGGCAGGAGCTCCTGTGCCTGGCTGGCTCCTCCAGTGAGATCCCGGACCCAATACTGCCCCTCCTCTGACTCAGGGCTAGGGATGTAGCCCAGGGCGCCCACCCAGGGCCACCTCTCTCCTCCCTGCTCTCTCTAGACCTTGGAAGGTTCCACTGCGAGATCACAGGGCTGCTGGGGTAAGTAAGGAAGGAATCCTGTGCCATTGACTGGAATTGTTTATTTAGGTTGTTTGATTCAAATTATAAAACGAGATTCATTTGGGTCTAATCTGTTGCTCTTTATTTAATGGCAGGATTTGTTTCATTTACATTCATATTTGATTGATGTTCAGAGTTAGATATAAAGTTGAAGATGTGATCTTTCTTTTCTTTTGAAATGTGTTGAGGCTCAACTGTCACCCTTCTCCTGTAGTTAATGTTGTGAAAATGCTATGCAATTCATTGTTCTTCAAAAATTGGAACTGTTCTTCAGCTCCACAATGGTGGTTTGTCATTCAGTTTTTAAAATGTGAGGTCCTTTAAAACAATAGTAAAATATCTTTCTGATCTACCAGAGCCAAATCATGAGAACCAGAGGTCCAAGAGCCGCTGTGAGTGCTGCGCCAGTGCTCCTGTGGAGCCACCCAGTGCTCCAGGAAACTCAGCTGCCAGAGTGTATCCCTTATTTGCCCATGGTGATGCCGATTTACTTTTTTGAAGAGAAATTGTAGTGTTTAGATAAATGTAGAAGGTGGAAGTTAATTAAGAGTTTGTTTGGGGTTTTTTTGGAAATGCATTGGTATTTGTTTGATTTTGCTATCCCCAGATAGCAAACCCCAGATGTTTAGTAAACGCATAAAAAGAAAGGTGTCCACAGATGGCCTCAAAGCCCATTGTGCTAAAGGTCCTCTGTGGGTGTTGTAGAGCCTTGTGGGGTCCTGTGGGCCCATGGGTGCTAGATGGGTCTCATGGGGCCTTATGTGTCCCATGGGTCCTGCTCTGTCTCTTGGTTCCTGAGCAGGACATAGTCAGATTAGGTGCCCCATGCCAATCATAACTAAAGCTGATTGTGACCGATGCTCACTGTGGCTCTGCTCTGAAGACCATGTGTGTATTGCCTGCTTTGATTCAATGGCTAAAGCCATCAGAATGCTCCTTGGTCACCCCCTTAGCCAAGTGTGGGAATAGGGAGAGGCACTGGCATGCCAGGAGGCTGGGGCTTTCTTTATTTCAAAGGACTTTACTTTTTTATTCAAATGTTTATAAGAAATAAAATACAGAGAAGCTGAAAGAATTACGTGCTGAGCATCTGCTGTGGTCTGAATATGTGTACTCCCTCCAAGCTCACAGATTGGAATCCTAACCCCAATATAGCAACATTACAAGTGGGCCTTTGGGAGCTCTGCCCTCACGAACAGGATGAGTGCCTTATAAAAAATGCCTAGACCCCCTTCCCTCACGCTGCACCAGATACATCAGCGTGAAAGCACCTGAAAGGCAGGGTCTGCACTGCCTTGTGTACTATACAGCCTCCGGCACTGAAAAATTCATTTCTGTTGTTTGTGAGCTACCAAGTTTAGAATATTTTGTAGTAGCAACCCAGATAGATGAAAAAGGACCCTAACACCAGAAACACAATTTTCTGTTTGATATATTTGCTTCATTTTTCTCTATGCATCTTTTCACTCTTGTGAAGTCTTAAAGCAGCTGCACAGTGTGGTGACACCTGAAGTAACTTAGGGTTTGAGACAGTAACAGGAGAAGGTAAACAGACATGTCACTACATTAGCTAGTTTCTAGCCAGATCTTTTCAGCAGATACTCCTCAGCATTTTTTCTGAGCCAGATACGTCAAGTCTGGCCACATAGGACCATGTTCAAGGAGTCCCAAGTCCTCGTGTGGGTGGTGTTCTTCCCTGCTGCCTCCTTGCTCAGGGAGTCCATCCTGATTGTGCTCAGAGAGTCCTCATGCATAGTCTTGTCCCTCCTGGCCATACAGAGTCAGGTGGCATTTGGAGGAGCTTACAAGTGTATGGTCTCTGCTCTGTGAGGTGTTAGGCTCAAGGACACCCTGGCTGGTGATTTTCCAAAAAGACTGATTCTCCTTCCAGTAGAGTTTGCCACCGTGAGAAGGGGAGAGATGCAGGGGTGCGTCCGAGGCTTCCTGTGGTGGCCAGAGTGACACATGAAGTGCCGTCCAAACGTGAAGCCCAGGGAATCCCTGGGGTTGGCCCTGCAGGCACTTCTGAACCCATACCCCAGCCTGGAAGATGAGTGTCAGCACAGCCCTGTAATGTGTTGTGGACACAGCCCAGAGAGAAGTGTGCTGCTGCTTTTTCAGGGAAGGTTTTAACTGGTGTAGGCAATTTTACCATCAGAGGACAGCCATCAATATCACCCAGCATTAGCCATGAGAGGAACCTGCAAGAGTCCTGGGGACACAGTTGGGAGAGAGATGGCAGTCAGGTCCTCAGCCAGTGTGTGCCAATGACTCCCTCACAGTGGCCACAGAAGGGAAGATGCTATTGTCACAACAATGTGTTGCTGATGGTGACAGGTCACAGGCCAGCAGGGCAGCAATGGCTGGGACAGGTGCAGGTCTGTCACTGGCTGTCGACTTTGTAAAAGAGCTCATTTGTGTGTGTGTGTGTGTGTGTGTGTGTGTGTGTCTGTGTGTGTTTCATAGTAAAGATTGAACCCAGGGCCTTAATATTGAGCTATAGCCCTTTCTCTTTTTGTTTAGTGTTTTTTTTTTCTTTTTTTAGTAAAACATTTATTGGTACATTTTAGTTATGCATAATGATAACATTCATCATAGGAAATTTGTACCAGTACGTTATTTAATTTTTATCTTGAAGTGGGGTCTTGCTAAGTTGCCCAAACTGGGCTTGAAGTTGGAGATCCTCCTGCCTCAGCTTCCCTGGGTTCTAGGATAACAGGTGTGCACCACCATGCCAAGCTCTGCTTTTGCGTTTTTCTCAGAAACTCTTTAGTGCTATGATAGTGCTGGCCTAGGCTCTGGGGACCCTCTTGGAAAGTGATAGGTGGTACTCCAAGCACCTGCTCTGATAGGTGTCACTTTGCTCACGCCTCGGCCTGACCTCAGGCCCATCACCCACTTTAATGGGGTGCATCCTGTCAAATCGAGTATTTATGACTGTTCTTGTCCCCCAAGGCTTTGTAAGAAGCTGGGAAGCATGGTTTTTGGTTTCCAATCTGTAAGCAGCACCAGGATGGTAAGGCAAGTTTAATTTCCAGTTCTAAATTTTCACATACATTTCTGTGGTGAATTAGGGCCCAATGACCAGGTGGTGACCAGACTCAAGGCCTGCGGACCCAGCCCAGTGCAGGTTGCTGGGAGGAACCCTTGAGCACGCCCAAGAATCAAGGGAGCAGGAAGGAGCTCTGAGGCTCAGTACCACAGTGGAATTCTGCTCTCATTGGCCTGTAAGAATTGTGAAGTAAGCCAGGCAGGGTGGCACATACCTTTAATCCTAGCACTTTAGGAGACTGAGGCAGGAAGAGAGCCAGTCTGCGCTTCTCAGTAACTGAGACCCTATCTCAAAACCACTTCTCAGGGTTGTAATTTAAAAAATGAGATATGAAGCCCCCCTCATTCCTTTTCCCTTCAGTCCAGAAACAGACATGCTGCAGGGTGTGTGCATCCCGGGACACACCAAATAGCACCCTCCCATAGTAGGTGAAAACAGCGAGGCCCACTGGGGGCCATCTGTTTTCTTCAGTCTGTGGCGTTTTTTTTCAGTTTCTGGTGTTCTTCAGTAATCCAGTGAACTTATCTTTCATGAAGTTAATGGCTCCTCATTTTGTTTCACAAGTCTCCTTGCCTGAAGTCAGAAGGTCATTCTCCTTGGTATCTTCCCTGTCCTTATCCACATGTGGTTGGGTGGTACCAGGTACCAAGTAGGGGTTTCATTGGTCTTTCTGCTTTAGCCACTAGGGGTGATGTCTGCTGTCCTTTTTAAATTGTCGGATATGCTTTTCCTCATAAGCGCATCCACACATGCTGCAGTCCACCAGCCTAGAGCTGACCTGAGGGTCCTCCTGAGCCCTGGCCTCACTGTCCTGGCCCAGCCAACTTGTCTCTGGCCAGGCTTGCCCTTGGGGAGCCCTGTGTCCTGGGGACATCCCCATGTGGTCTTCTGTGTGCAGCCTTACTTGTGGGTGTCCTCCGCCTGCACTCTGCCTGCCCAGGATGTGGCAGGGGGGCCATCAGCTTCACTTGCTGTCTCCTGTGCTTGTTCAAGCAAGGGACTCGTGCTAAGGCTGTTTGGACGTGCTAAGTCTGTGAGCAGTTGTGTGTGGTAGTGAGGGCCTCCTCATAGAGCTGTTTTTGGTTAAAGATAATTCCTTCTAGTCTTAGTTGAAGAATTTTTAAGCCAGGTATGGTGGCACATACCTGTAATCCCAGCACTGGGGACTGAGGCAAGAGGATTACTTTGAGTTCAATACGCTGTCTCAAAAAGAAGAAAAAAAGGAATTTTAAAATCATGAATGGCAATGGATTGTATTATATTTTGTTTATTAATTGATTTTTGAGACAGAGTCTCACTTTGTAGTTCAGGCTAGCCTTGAACTCACTATGTAACCCAGGCTGTCCTTGAACTTGTGGCAATCCTTCTGCCTCAGCCTCCCTGGTACAGCAATGGATTTTATCAAATGATTTCTATGTGTCAGTTGGGAAGAGCGTGTTTTTCTCCTTTAACCTTTAGTCATAAGTGACACTTTTTCCTCATGTGGCCCCCCTGCTGTGTTGTAGGGATTAGCCTCACTGGCAAATGGCCTTGCCTGTTGTGTGTTGCCAAATGAGAGTGGCTGATGTTCTGCTCAGGCTTGGGCAGGTCTGTAATCTTCCTCTCAGCTTCAACCTTGTCAGGGTTTGGTGTATACGGGAGTTAGTCGTCTGAGTAAGTTGTAAGTCCTGTCTTTGACTTTGAGGTTTTTTGTTTTTTTTTTTTTTTCGTTTTTTTTTTTTTTATCCCGGTGCTGGGAATTGAGCACAGACCTCCAACATGCTAGGCAAGCACTCGCACACACAACTGAGCTGCACCCTGGCCAGAGCATACTTTTTTGTTGTTGTTATTGAGAAAAGTGGTTTGTTCTCAGGTTGGGTAGACCCACCTTGGAGACTCCTAGTTCTGGAGTTTTTTGTTTGTTTGCTTGTTTGTTTGTTTGCTTGTAAGTATTCTCTATATTTGTCATGGAAGTTAGTCAAGTTTTCTTTTTTTTTTTTTTCCTCATTGAGTTTATTGGTACTTTTCAGGCATACAGTACAGTTACATTCATCATTGGGATCCTGTACCTTTACGTGACAGGTCTTGGTTCTCATTTTCTGGTGCATTCTTTGAGGGACATTTTGTAACTACCTCCTCAGCCTCTGTAGTAGGTACAGCATGGATTTTCTGCACTTGCCCCAATTCATTTGGATTATTTTCTAGCAGTTTATCATTTTCTTACCATTTCCATTTTTATTGGCATAAAGTTGTTCTCAGTGCTGTTCACACTAGGCGTCCCGAAGGCCATGGTCAGCACTGCAGCCCAGTAGTGCTCGTCCTCCCTGCTTGCTTAGAGTTTGTCACTCTTTCATACTAGGTAACTTACCTGTCTAAGATGTCGTCTCCATGGGGTGTGTGGCACCCAGGTCAGGAGCCCATTGCTGAACCACTGTTCTTTGAACCATAGGCCACAACTTAACAAAAATTAAATAAAATGACAACTTTAATTCCTCGGTCCCACAATGGCCTTTTAAGCACTAGCATTCTCCTGTGCTTAGAAGCTGCCGTCCTGGGCAGGGGACAGTTCAGGACAGGCCTGGCTGTAAGCAGCTCATCTGCTCATCGTCTGAACACATCCCCGGGAGCACTGGCTCTTCTTCACTGTCTTTTTGGTGAAAGTTAACAAGCTTTAAGATTGGTTGATTAAAAAATGCAGTTGTTGAAGAACTTGCAGGGTAGGAATGACCGTGTGGGAACAGGAGGACAGTCCTGGATGTGGATGCTAGGGCTGCTTGTTTCTGAACTGCCCACATCCCTGTGTCATCCCAGAGCCCTGGGCTTCTCCCTAGCAGAGCCCTGGAGAGTGGCTTGCAGGACAACACCCGGGGAGCCCAGCAAGGCTCCAGGGCTCCCTCACGGCACAGCAGCCACTACATGCCTGGTCCAGGAGGCAGAGTTCTTGTGTGGTCACCCATGTCATGCTGACAGGGGCTTCCCAGCCATACCTACTGTCCTATTGTTGCGCTCAGCCATTAGTGCTGTGAACTCAGCGCTCACTGTCCTTGTCCTCTGAGCCCCGGCCCTGGACCCAGTGCCCACATGGTCCTCGGCACAGTTTCCCTGAGAGTGGACAGGATATCTGTGACCCAGAGAGAAGATGGCTCAGTATGGATGTCAGGATGCAGAAATCACAGGCTTCACGTGAATCCAGTGATAAAGTTTGCCGTTTGCTGCCCCTCCCTAGGCCCTGCACCCTGGTCTCCCCTGAGGGCCTCTGCAGGCCCCACATGCCACCCACCCACCCCACTCCACCTCGGGGTTGCATCTCTGCTTGTCATTTTCTTTCTTTTATTTATTTATTTTTTGTGGTACCAGGGATGGAACGTGGGGCCTTGTGCTTTCGAGGCAGGCAGTGGAACCACTGAGCTAAATCCCTGGCCCTCTGCTCGTCATTTTCAATGGCTTCTGGGATAGTCTGGGTTTGGGGACACCACACTATGTCTCCGTGATAGAGTCTCCTTCATCATGGCTAATTCTCATTTTCCTTCACCTGTGTTGCATAAGTAAACAGGCAGGTATGCTTCAGGCAAGGTGCAGAGCTGCGGGAGGGTGCCCTGTGTCCTCCCACAGTGACACTGGATCTGCTTCCCCACAGGCTTCACCATGTAGCAGGGACTCCAGCGCTCCCTTGCAGGTGAGTGCAGGGCAGTGCCTTCCTTCCCGCAGTGGCTGGGAGTTGATGCGTTGTGCTGAGTGTGATGCTTGGTACAAGTTTCAGGGCCATGGAGAAGGTCCTAGAAGCATCATCTTCAAACACCAGCTGGAGTTATTTGTACCTGGTTTTCCTCTCCGTGTTTCAGATAGGGCTGTGGAGTTATCTCAGCACTCCAGAGGGAGGGCCTGGGTGGCAGTGTTATTCAAGGGCCACATCAGTGCTGTGATCAAGGTAACAGTGTTGTTTTTCTGCTAGAAAAACAATGGAAAGAGAGCAAGGGCCAGAAGAAAGGTGCAGAAGTGAACCAGAGAGCAGCGTGAGGAGGCATCATCACATCCGCATGGTGGCCTGAAGCTTCCATGCCACGGCAGGAGGAGGAACTCGCAGTCATCCAGAGGAGGTGGGGCCCAGATGGGTCTTCACTCACAGGGCCTGCTATCCAGAGGCAAGGGGTCTCTGTCCACCAGACCTACCACTCAGTGGAGGCAAAGGGGCTCCATCTGCAAGTTCTCTTCTGTGTGTGGGTCTTGAGTCACTGCTAGGTGCTTACTACATCCCTAGGATGCCTTTCTGTGCTCTAGACCAGGCAGCCCTACCCCCACACCCTCCACCCCAGCTGCTTGAGTGGGCTCTGCCCTCGCCTGGTGTCCCGGCAGTCCAGCCCTGTATCCCCTGCTCCAGGCATTTCTCTGCCTACCTTCCTCTGCTCCATAAAGTCCCCTGCCACTGAGCTTGCCTAACCCACACTTAGTGGGATGGAGAGGAGGGTGTGGGAACGGAGGCTAGGGTCCCTCAGGAGCAAGTCTGGAAGCCCGAGAGGGCACGTCCCCTATGGCTGCAGTATGCCATGGGGACTGTGGTGGGGTCATCTCGGTCCAGTATTATAGTTGGCAGTAGACAGTGTCCTCCAGCTAGAGAAGTGGGTTCAGTGCTGGTGGCTCACACATGTTGTGCTGGGGCCATTGCCACCACTGAGCCTTGGACAGCACGCTTAGTAGCAGTTGGTGATGCTAGTTAATGTGTGTATTTTTCCTGCAGAAGCCAAAGATGTTGACTAGAAAGATCAAACTCTGGGACATAAATGCCCACATCACCTGCCGCCTGTGCAGTGGGTACCTCATTGATGCCACGACAGTGACAGAGTGCCTGCATACATGTAAGTATGGTCAGTACTCCAGCCAGCCCCGTAGTCTTGAGGGCCGTTTGTCCTGTTTCCCAGCAGCTTCAGCCTGGGCCTGAGGGCAGCCGGGCTGGGAAAATCACTTCAAACTAAAAATGCCATGGTAATTCCCTGGAGTGAGGCTTCTTTAGGAGCATGTAGTGCAGGAAGGGGCTTTCTGCGGTCAGCACATCAGTTCCTGAGGAAAGTGTTCGTATCTGGCAGGGAGACATGGCTCTGTCTTAAGCTGGAGTAAAGTCCTGACATCTTTCAGAGTAATCTGCTGATTCTTTGCCCCTCTGACCATCTGGGCTCTCAGCTTGTGTGGGAACAGCGGGTAGATGATGTGGTCACCGGGGGCCATGGCTGCTGGTGACTAAGGTCATGTACCTTGTCAAAGTGAATTCGGAGTACACATGATTTCCAATTTTATACTTTCCCCTTAGGAAATACTTGCCAATTTTGATAGAATTTTTATTTTAAAATTAGTTAGGGATTTAGCTCAGTGGTGCTGCCACCGCCTGCCTCACAAGCACAAGATCCTGAGTTTGATCCCCGGTACCCAAAACATAAATAGCCGGGCATGGTGGTGCACACCTGTAATCCCAGCACTCAGCAGGCTAAGGCAGGAGGATCACTGTGAGTTAGACCAGCCTGGGCTACACAGTGAGTTCCAGGGCAGTCTCAACTACATAGTGAGACCCTGTCTCTAAATAAGTAAAATAAAAGTTAGTTGTCTTGGTAGAAACTGGCAGGCATACTTTTTTTGTTTTTTTAGGTGATTTTCATTGATATTTACCTAGTTTTGCTACACAAAAAATGTAATCTTTTAGGTCAAATTAATGAAAAATTTAAATGTTAGTTGTATTCAGTGGCTTTATAGCCCTTCACCTTTTGCCTGTTGCCTCCTCCCTGTCCCCTTCCCATGCAGTCCCCAAGCCTGGGTCAAGTAGGGTAGGCACCTAGGCACATCCAGAACCTTCATATGGGAGCTGGGGCCCTGTGCAGGGGTGGCCAGGTATGCAGTAGGTGAGGTAGAACATGCTCCCGGCTGCCGTGGGGCTCAGTGGGTGCAGGGTGCCAGCCCCGTCTCCGTGCGGGTCCCCTCATCTGGGCGTACTGACAGTCTGCAGGAGCTGCCTGGTGAAGTACCTGGAGGAGAACAACACCTGCCCCACCTGCAGGATCGTGATCCACCAGAGTCACCCGCTGCAGTACATCGGGTGAGTGTTCCCGGCCACCACACATTGTTTACTGCCCAAATGGCAGCAGGTGTGAGCTAGGCCCCCGGTTCCGGAACTTCAGGGCTGCACTGAACTGGCTGCATCAGGTTAGAAGCAGAAGGTAGTCTTGGATGCACCTTTGTGCAGAGCAGCAGTGTGGCCCTTGGCATGGGGCAGGATACAGGGCTGAAGGGCTGCCTAGCGGAGCCTTCATTTCTCATATAGAGCTTCTGGGTGGGGTCCGCTGAGGAAACGAAACACCCCCATGCCACTCAAGGGAGGCAGGGAGAAGTCTGGAGACAGGCTCTGGAGATAAGCTTCTTACTCTGGAGTTGTACAAGGTGTCATACGTGATGGAGAGCACATGGACAGTGCAGGATCCCCACAGAGAAAGGGTCCAGGTCACAATGGGAGCAGCCAGCTCTCAGCAGCCTTCCTGCTTCCGGGGCAGCACTCCTGAATCCTGCTCCTCCAGCTTTCCTTGCTGTGACCAGCATGCCTCTCCGTGTGCTATCTGATTCCTTGATGAGTCTCTTGCTCACACTGGCATCCCTAGGAGAAGCCCCATGGCCAGTGTGGCCTGTGGGGTGGACATTGAGAGGCGTCCAAAGGCTATTGATTGGTGTTACCCACATCGAGGGTGGGTACCTTTAATCCTAGCATCACATTCTTAATCCTAGCATCACACACCCTAGATTTAGCCCCCTTTGAAACATGAGGCTTTGGAAGGGCATTTAGTTACAAACCTTCTTACCTGCTGTCATTATTTGAAATGTTTATAAGCTGGTAGAACCTAAGTTAAAGGATGAATTAGTTTAGGTCATAGATTAAACTTTTTGGCATCAGACTTTTTTTTTTTTTTGGTACCGGGGATTGAACTTGGGTCCTTGCGCTTGCAAGGCAGGCCACCGAACCGCTGAGCTAAATCCCCGGCGACAATGCAGTATTTAAATGTGTGTCCAATTTATTTCACTTAGGAGTATGGTCTCAGGTCCATCCATTTAGCTATAAGTGTCTGAAGCTCATCCTTCCTTATGGCAGAGTAGTACGCCATTGTATTAAAAAAAAGACATCTTTTTTATCTAGTCACCAGCTGATGGGCATTTGGGCTGTTTCCAAAATGTAGCTATTACTGTGCTGCTATAAACTTGGATGTGCATACATCTCTGTGTTAAGATGCTTTTAATTCTTTCAGGAGGATACCAAGAAGAGGTATAGCTGTGTCAAATGGAACCTCTAGTTTTAGTTTTTTGAGAAATCTCCATACTGATTTCCACAGTGATTGCACCAGTCTACCCTCCCATCAGCGGAGGAGAAGGTGCATCAGACATTTTTCATTTACAAGCTAGAAGGAAAATTCCACCAAAACTTGAAGTTTGTGATTCAGAAATTTGGGTTAAGTGGGAAGAAAATGTGTGAGAGTTACAGAATGAACATTTCTGGCTAATCCCATCTGTTCCATTTCTTTGCAGTCATGACAGAACCATGCAGGACATTGTTTACAAGTTGGTGCCAGGCCTCCAGGAAGGTGAGTGTCAGAACCTCCTCAGCCCAGGGTCAGGGGATGTGGTCTTCGCACCTCCCTTTCTTATGTGTCTGCACTCTTAACTCATGTATCTCCTTGGCTGGATTCTCCAGTGTTTTTCAGGGGTGGGTAGACTTCTTTGTAGACTGTTTTAGTCCTAGGAAAAGGCAAAGGATAACTCAAAATAAAATGCTATAAACTAACAAGATGATTATGATAAGAGTTTTAAGTGCAGGTACCAGCGCATGTACCTAAGGAGGCCCCCTGTGCTGTGTCCTCCATCAGTAGCTCCCATTGGGTTCCTCTGTGTCCCCTCCTCTTGCTTCTTGGTGTTTCACCTATAATGTTGTAGTTTGTGTTCCAACAATAAGGATTTCTTAAAACACATAACCATAATCCCCTATTAGATGTAGGAAAGTCATAGTAATTCCTTAATGGGAAGTGTCCATGTTGACGTTTCCGGTTGTCCACGATTTCCTTGTCTTTGGTTTTGGTTGTTTACAGTTGTTTTGTTTTTGAGACAGGGTCTCACTATGTAGTTTAGACTGCTCTGGAACTCACTGTGTAGCCCAGGCTGGTCTCCAACTTGCAGTGATCCTCCTGCCTCAGCCTCCCGAGTGCTGGGATTACAGGTGTGTGCCACCATGCCCAGCCCTTTTTACAGTTGTTTCTATCAGGATCCACATAAGACTTGTGCCCCCAGAATGGACCCCCAGGCCCACTAGGTCCCTTCTGCCTCTGCCTGTACCTTGTCCCGGGGCGTCCCTCTGAACTTGCAGAAGACATGCTATGGCATGTCCTGTGAGTTGGGAGAATTGGCAGTGGGTCCAGGTTGGCTATGGCCCGTGTTTTCAGCAAGCCTACCTTTAGGTGCTTTTCTACGCTGAATGGGTGCTACCTGCATGTCATCCATCCATGCCAGGAGACAGCAGCGCTGTTCTGGTCCTGCTGTTCTTTCTTCATTTCTTAGTTGGAATACATACATAAAATTGTGTCCCTGCTTGGTTTCCTTGAGGTCCGTTGTGTAGGAAAGAAAGGCAGAAGAAAGGCCAAGTCTCCCTCCTGTTTCCATGGTAATAGATGGATGGCTTCCTAGCCTTTCTAGCCACCGGGTCATGCATTCTCAGCTCATTGCTGTTGCTGTCCTTTTGAAGCTAATCCTTTTGCATGTGTCTGGTAGACCACATTGGGCCAGGGTCTCTGTGGTGCCCCTGGTAGTCTTGGGTAGCCACAGCTACTGGTACAGGAGTGATCCTGCATCTTTTCAGGCCCTGGCCTTTCACTGCTATGAGCAGTGCTGTCCAGAGGCTGCAGCCTGCAATGCTCCATGGCTCTGTCCTGAGTCATTTCTGCTGAGAGAGGTGGTGCAGAAAGAGAATGACTTGGACACCTTGTTGCCCCTGCATACCTCAGCTTTTGTTCTCCCCACACCCTATCCCATCCAGTGTGGCCACTGACTGCATGCTGAAGTTGGAGAGGCAGAGGCTTGGAGAGTCAGGATTCTGAGCTCACATCTCCTGTTTGCGGAGACCCCAAGACTGTATCATCCCATGGCCTGCCCACACCACCCCCCGCCTATGTGGATGCCCATCTGTGGTGTGTTGGGCTTTTTTCTGAGTAGTCATAACCTCATTTTTCAGGCCAGAGGCTCTTCCTGGACCTCCAGATAGCCTAGGACACTTGCCTGTGGTGGTGCAGTGATACGCTAGAGCTTAGCCTTGAGTCCCACAGTAGTGTGTACCCCCCCACACCTTTCCAGCTGCTCCTCCCTGTCCTGCTGGTAACAGTGGCTCGCTTGAGGTCTTTCCATTCCCTTGCAGGTGAGAGGTGGGAGATGCAGTTGTTTTTGTTTCTCCATGTTGTTTCCATACTTCAAAACTTGTTTTTCAGAGGCAAATGTATCATAGCATCACCTCCCTCTTTTCCCACATACTGTGTGCATTTATTCAAGCACCACAGGGTTGTGGAGAACTCACTGGTCCTCTGCTGATAGCTATTTACCACCCTTGTCATTTGGTTGGTTTTGTTTTTTTGTTTTTGTTTTTTGAGACAGAGCCTTGATACATAGTTCTGGCTGGCCTTGAACTCACTGTGTAGCCCAGGCTGGCCTTAAACGCGTAACAGTCCTCCTGCCTCAGCCTTCCAAGTGCACCACCACCCCCAGAATCCTGTGCTTATAAAGAGAAGGCACTCTCTTGCAGACACTGGTAAAAGTGCCTGTTGGTTTTATTGTGGTTTGTAGGCCAAGAAGTATCTACGTATTCTCTTTCTGGAGCCCACAGAGCACACCTGGCCTGCTGCCTGAAGTTACATGACGCGTGAGCAGTGTGTTTTCTGCATAGTTGAGAAAAACCAAAGAATATTATATAACATGGGAAAATCATATGAAATGAAATTTTACATTACATGAGTACAATAATACCTTTTGTTCCCAAACACTTGTGTTTGCGAACAATTCAGTTCATGGACAGAAGCATTCAGCAGAAGTTTTCTTCTGTTTGTGACCGCCATGTAAGGTGATGAACATGACTGTGACCATCTTCCCCAGAATCATGGAAGTTCATGAACTCAATGTAGTTTCATTGGAACATTGCCATGCTCATTTGCCGAGTTCCTGTCCACCCTCTCCCTTCTCTGGCAGCACACCACAGACCTCAGCCTCTCCAGCGCCTCGAGTTAACATTCTGTCGAGGCTTAGTGTTACCAGTGCACACCTGTCATGTCCAACAGGGAAGAGGAAAAGTGGGCCACACGTGTCAGGCTATCTTCCTACTGGAGTTATTGCCCAGAGACAGACATCACAGTGTTCTCAGCCCACAAAAAAGTGTGAAAGTTTAAAACAGAATAGTTTATCCCAGAAGAATTCATCACAAAATAGATGAAAGTGAGGCGGCAAAGTAAGCTTCTGATTGGCTCATGTGTTAGCCAGACTCAGAAAGGGTTTATTTACTAGTGCCAGTCCATTAAAGCATGCTGGTGTGCAGCATCGGGAGAAATGTGTCCAGAAACAACGATGTGTTTATGACCATTAGTCTCAGGATGGAAGAGGGTGGAAAAGCGGCAATGGTGTGTGTGTGTGTGTGTGTGTGTGTGTGTGTGTGCGTGCGCGCGCGCGCAGAGCCAGGCTGTGACTTCTTCTCAGTGCCCTTGTCTCCGAGACTTTGGCACTTGGCTCTTGCAGAGTCAGTGCTGGGTGGGATGCTGCAGAATGGCCTCTGATGGTCTTCTTGGACAGCCGAGGGGAATGTACCAAGACCTTCCCAATGGTGTGTGGATTGAAAAATGGCTGGACAAGTTAGCAAAGCTGGTAAAAATGTCAGGCATTTGAGGCTCATGGTTCATTTATTAGCAGGTATCTTGTGGCGAACACCTGAATCTTGTGCTGGCCATGATGGATTTCATTGTTAAGAGTGCTGCTGGGTACAGTGGGTCATATCCACTCTTGTTGCCATGGCTATCTTCAAAGCTCTGAATTTCTGACAGAGTTGAAAACTGAGTGTCCTGACTTCTCCATTACATGAATTTCAGTGACTTAGCAGTGACCAAATGTGTGTGTATTTCTAATATTTTCTGTTCATTTTAAGCATTTCTGTAAATGAGAAGTAGCACTTTAACCACTGTTGTCACACATTGAATGGCTCTGGAAATTGGCTTTGCTGAAGACTTGATCATGTTTCTGAATGAAGTCAATCTAATATCGTAAGGCAAAACAGTACTGCAGAGTATGGAAAGTCACTTCAGCAACTAATGTTGCTCAGCTCACATAATGTCCAGCTGCTTGTGTTGTCAACTTTCTGTCACCATGGTAGGATACCTGAGTCAATCAGCTTATAATGAGAAGTGACTGATTTGGGGTCACAGTTTAGAAGTTTCAGTCCACAGTTGATTGGTCCCATGTCAAGGCAGCCAGCATGGCAGAAGTGTGTGGAGAGCAGAATACTTACCTCGTGGCCAGGAAGCAAGAGACAAAAAGAGAAGGGCCTGGGATCCTACTATCCCCTCGAGGGCATACCCCCAGTGATCTAAGACCTGCCACTGGGCCCCTGCTAAAAGGTTCTACCACTTCCATCTTGGGCACCAAGTCTCCGACAGGAGCTGTGGAGACATCAGAACTGCAGGACTGCTGCAGAGATACCTGAGCCCTCAGAAGTTAGAGAGAGAGGCAAGGTCTGTGTCCTTGCCCAGAGCTGTGGCAGATCCATTCCAAGAGTAGCTACTGACCCAGTGGTGTCCTGGGCATTGATACAAGAGCAAAGGATGCAAACCCATATTTCAAAATACATTTAATGGTGCAGTGGAGGGGCTTCCATCTGACCTTCAAAGTGAAGTGATTAATCTGCAGCTTGATGATTCAGTGAAGAACAAATACCAGGAGAATTCCGTAGCGTTCCACAATTGCGTGCTGTGTGACAACTCGACATTATATCCCTCGGACAGATGTCCGCACTTCTGAGTGGAAGTAAATTTTCAAAGATGATAACATGTAAAATCTCATGACAGATGAACTTTCACATGTCCATTTAGTTTCAATAGGAAGCAGTAATTTTGAACTCCAGCTGGACAAGAGTTATCTCCCCAAAAGGATTCCATTTTTCTTGTTCCAAAAAACTATCCTTGATCATTATTGCTGTATTTTTAATTTCATCAGTAGAAAATTGTGGGTATCTGTTTTTGCTCTGTCACCGAGCTTCTGTGCAGAATGTCAATTCTGCCTGCTGACCACAAGGCAAGATGCTCAGGCCTCCCCCTGCAGGGAGTACACTTGGCCCAGGATGGAGCCCCACTGTGTGCTGGTTGGCTGGATGCTCACTGAGCCTGGGCTTGCTCCTGGTTCCTGAGGCTCAGCCCCTCACCACCACATGGATGCTCACCATGGCCCATGGATATACCTCTATCAGGCTGGTCACCTGGGATGACCAGTTTACCAGGAATGGTCTATAGTCTCAGATGCCTTTTCTACATCTGTCAAGATGGTTGTGTGGATCTCACGAATCCTAGGCAAGTACTCCACCATTGAACTATATCCTCAGCCCTACTTTTTAAAAATTTATTTTAGACAAAGATCTCAATAAGTTACCCAGCCTGCCCTCAAACTTGTGATCCACCTGCCTCAGTCTACTGTGTAGCTTGATTACAGCCTGCACCTCTGCCCGCATCTTTCAGTTTCTTACTATAGGCAGTGGCACAGCTGGCTGTTTGTTCATTGAACACTCTAAAAGGTTCACTATCATTGGTGTAGGGTGTTGCGCTGGTGGAGCCCCAGCTGGTTCCATTTTGCAGTCTCTTCCATAGTAGTGCATCGAGTAATGTGCCCCTGGGCAGCAAGTACACCCTGTCCTGCTCACTGTCGGCAGCTACAGAATTCTGTTGCTCTGTGACCCACGCTTACTGCGGACAATACCTTTGCTGGTTTTACCTTGCCAGTGTCTCTGGTGGCGCTGAGTACAGCGCAGCTGAGTGAAGACTGAGGAATCACCACTGCAGCAGCCACGCCTAGCCAGGCACCTGCTCTCAGACATGCAACAGTTCAATTGTTCTGATTTTTCAGTATTTTGAGTAAGACTTCAACAAGTATCTACCTGGTTTTTTGTTGTTGTTGTTTTGTTTTTTGGTATTAAACCTAGGACCTAATGCTTGCCAGGCAGGCACTGTGCTGCTCAGCTAAATCCCAGGCCCTACCTGGATATCTTTAGGGTTACTAGCAGTAGAATTTTTGTGTCAAAATTACAGTATTTTAGATGTAACATCAAGAATGGCCCCAGTTTAATGTTTCTGCACCTGTATATACCTGATGTTGAGTATTGTTATTTTTGCTATCTTCATGCTTTTCTGTTGATAGGTAAAAGGTAAAGAAACAGGCATTAAACACGAAGTCAGCACTGAGGCTTCTGCCTGCAGTGGTTCCCTCAGAGGCCCCACTGACCAGGCTTCTGTCTCACTTGACAGCAGTGAGTGCTGAGCTCACAGTGCAGAGCTACTTGCTGTGTGCAGTGTGCACGTAAACACATCCAGCTGACCCCTTGCTGTCTTTGTCAGAGCCTATGCATGTCCCTCCTCTGTGTAGATCATGCCTGTGTACCCTTGTTCCTGCACTGCTTCAGTGTAGGATTGGCTATGCCCAGGCTCTCTAGGGGCTGCAGTCTGTATGGGAAAACAGATATGTAGATTAAAAAGTTTAATGAAGCAGGACATGGTGGTGTGGCCTATAATCCCAGCTTCTCAGAAGGCTGAGGCAGGAGGATCACAGTTTGAGGCCAGCCTGGATAACTCAGATCCTGTCTTAAAATACAATTTTAAAATATAGCTGGGAGTGTAGCTCAGTGTGGTAGGGTGCTCCTGGGTTCAATCCTCCAGTACCCCTCCCACACACAAAAAAGTGTAGTGAAACATTTCTTAGTCACCTATTCATAAATTATTTTTTACAGAACAATTTATAGGTTATTGATTTGAGTAGTTATTTTATTTTGGTACCAGGGATCAAACTCAGGACTTTGCGATTTCAAGTCAGGTAGTGGCACCACTGAGCTACATCCCCAGCCTTTGAGTAGCTATTTTAATTTTGTCACCTGAGTGTCCAGAGCAGTGGCCAGTGTCTTTTGCTCCATCACTTGCATCTGAGCACTAAAGTTACATGACAGAACACTTCCTAAAAGTTAAGTTTGGCATGGTAGTGCATGCCTGTAATCCCAGCATTCTGGGAAGCTGAGGCAGGAAGATCGCAAGTTCAGGCTCCAGGTAACTTAGTGACTTAGAGTAGGAACCTGTCTCAAAATAAAAAATAGGCAAAGGGGGACGAAGATTTAGCTCAGTGGTGCCATGCCTGCCTCCCAAGCCCAAGGTCTTAAGTTCGATCCCTGGTACTGGGGGGACAAAAAATAGGCAAGGGGTGTAGCTCAGTGTGAATCCCCTGGGTTCAGTCCCCAGTCTGGCAAGATAAATAAATAAATAAGATGGTGATGATGATGATGATGATGATGATGATGATGATGATGATGATGTTGATGATGATGTTGATGTTCTTGTCAGTTAGTAGCTGTTTTCGTCTCATGAAATCCATCCTTCCCTAGCATGCAGGATACCAGCCTGGTCCTGCTGTCCAGCCCCAGAGGTTCATGGCTGGGCTTGGAGGTCCCTCTGTGCATCTAGCAGGGGCACATGCTGGCTGCCTCAGCAGGCCAAGCTTGCCTGAAAGCCTGGTAACAGTGAAATGGACAGATGCAGGAGGAAATTGTGTTCCTCCACCTCCTCCCTTGGACTGTTCTGTGCCTGCTGGCCGTAGACACCAGGGGGCACTGTTAACTCACTGCTGGCAGACACGGACACCATCTAGTCCACCCCACAGGTAGGTTGTTAGCACCCACCATCCTGGCTCACAGTACAGGCTCCTGGGATGGGACGGCCGCTTGGGCATCACCACAGCAACCAGTGCCAAGCAGCTCAGAGCTGCTGCCTATTGTGGCTGCAGAGATGATGTGGGACACGGCAGCACATCTGCATTGCCAGGCTGCACTGGGGACGCATAGGGCACCTGAGTCCTCTGGCAGCTACCTGTTGTCTACAGTGATGTCTGAGGGTCAGTGACATAGGTGGTTGAGGAGGTTGCTGTTGTAGTCCTAGGAGGGTCCCCAGCAGACCCAGTGCCTGTTTGTCTACAACAGACTCACACTGAGTACCAGCATCTCCCCCAGGGTTCCCGCAGGCCTGTGATGTGGGCCCTTGTGTACCATGCCAGACCCAAGAGTTTACATTGCACTTCTTTCATACTAGTAGCAGCCTTTGAACTTCATGATCCAAATCTGCGGCCTCCTTTGTATGATATTTGTGAACAGAGCGTACTACACTTCCTTGTCTGCTGAAAATTAAAGACTTACACTTTTTAAATGTGTTTGTAGTACACAGTCAATACATTCATTACAGGGAGTTGGTACATGTATATAACACATTGTCTCTTTTTGTTTGTTTTTTTGTTGTTTTCCGTACTGGGGATCAAATTCGAGACCTTGCGCTTATGAGGCAGGGGGCAGAACCACTGAGCTAAATCCCCGGCTTTGTCTCTTAATCTTTAATAGCCGAAATGAGGAAACAGAGGGAGTTCTATCACAAGTTGGGCATGGAGGTGCCAGGCGACATCAAGGGGGAGGCGTGCTCTGCAAAACAGCACTTGGATCCCCGGAATGGTGAGTGGCCACAGGCTGCGTGAATTGCAGCAGTTGGTTCATTGGGCCTCTCGCAAGCGCGCACTGTCTCCAGCCCTAGGCGGTTTCACCAGAAAGTGGCAGCCCCTGTGTTTCAGGGAAGGTTCTTTACCACTTCCCACACCCGGTAGTGTGACGTGGAGAGCAGTAGGTCTCAGGAAGTGCCTGGAGGTCAGACAGAGGGCAGAGGGGGAAGCAGAGCACCTGTGGAAGAAGGAGTGGATGGTGGGCTGGTACGGTTTTAACTCTGCTACTTTATTAAAATATAGCAAAATAATGATTTGGTTTTGGCATAAAGTTAATGGTACTTTAAAATCTGAGGTCTAGTGTTTTTCCAGTAGACCATACAAGTTCCTAAGAAAATTTAGACCATGTCAGATCTGGCACATGCCTGTAGTCCCATCATGCATGAAGCTGAGGCAGGAGGATCACAAGTTTGAACTCCAGTTTGATAGTTTAGCAAGACCCCCATCACAAATTTAAATTAAGAAATAAATTTAAGTAAAGGAATAAATAAGGCTGGGACTGTGGTTCAGTGCAAATCCCCAGGACCACAAAAATAAACAACAAAAAAAATTGGTTAGAAATGTAGCTCAGTGGTAGAGTGCTTGCCTAGCATGTATGAGGCCATGGGTTCCATCCCCAAGTACAACAGAACAATGAAAAAAGAAAGAAAAAGAAAACAAAAGACCTGAGACTTCTCTGATAGTCTGAGAAGAAGAGAGAGAATTGTGGCAGTGGCCAGTAGAAGAGTCAGCTACCAGCACCTGGGGAAAGCCTGTAGGCTGCAGGGGCCAATGGGGGCTGTCTGGGAATTGGAGAATCTGGTGTTACCTACCACTGCTATAGTAGGATTGCACGAATCGGATGTCCCAGGGAGGGGCTGCTGTGGTGAGCACTGCTTGGTTGCAGGAGCTATCTGCTCCTCTCACCAGTGCCAGTACTTCTGTGTTCCCTAGAATGCACTGATAAGCCTGCCCTGCCTGGGTTAGCCTCAGGAGCCCTGCTCCACAGAGGAACATGGTGTGGAGAGACTTGTGGCTTGGCTCTGACACTAGCAGGCTTCTCACGTCCACTCCTGGGGGAGTGGATATCAAAGCATTTAGAGTATATGCTCGTTTTTTAAATAGCGTAACATTTTAGACTTCATAATACAAGTTGAATCCCCTATCCAGAATGCTTGGAGCCACACTAGACAGGAATTCATTTGTGTTTCACACACACGTTTTACATCGCCTGAAGGTACATTTACACAATATTTTCAGTGCACCTGTCTTAGACTACAGCCTATCACAGAGTCAGACGTGGAAGTTTCTCCTTACAATTCAAAATGTTTTAGATTTTGGAGCACTTAGGATTTTGAATTAGAGGTGCTCAACCTGTACCATGTTTTCTGTTTATTATGCTAAAAGGTGAAACCAAAGCAGATGACAGTTCAAACAAAGAGACAGCAGAAGAGAAACAGGAGGAAGACAATGACTACCACAGGAGTGATGAGCAGGTGAGTGCTTTGCCTCTGCATTCCTAGCACTGTTTTGTTCTGTGTTTGCATGCTTCAGTGTTTCATGAAACCAAAGATGAAATGCCCCAGAACTTTATTCCTCTGAGCTCCTCACTTTATCTTTCCTTAAATTACCAACATTGTATGCACTAAAACACTTCAGACACTGTGGAAGGATCTGATAAAGTTCCATACTCCTGTCTGTAGAAGTCCCTAAAGTAGTTCATACTTCATGATGAAACAGAGTCATTGTCTCATTAAAATGAGGAATAAGAAAATGCCACAAGCAGCTATGAGTTGGGAGGCCTTAGCCCATGTCATGGGAAAATAAAAATGAGAAACACATGAGAGAAAAGGTTATTATTCTCAGGTAATGTCTTAGATGGAACCTGAGATAATAAGATGAAAAAAATGGTTAAAGCTCATTTTGCTCTACAGGTGATGAGATCAACATATGAGGATTGGTAGGTGCAGGGAGTTGGTGGGGAACTGTGTCTACAAACCAGCCAGGGCTTTGCTGAACATCCCTGGGAGAAAGGCTGGTAGAGGTGCTAATTCCCCTGAGCTTGCTGCCTCATGGTGTGGTTCCAGCAGATGGCTAGAAATGACTTTATAGGAAGGTGGATGTACAGAACAGTTGTAAGATCACTGCACAAAGTGGGGCTGGGCTTGGTCATATCAGGAGACATAGTAATCACGACAGTGTGGTTTAGAGCCTGATATTTGTTTTTAGTTTATCTATGTCTGCACTGCCAGTGACAAAACCAAAGAAACAGTGACAAGCCTGTGCACATGTGGGTCCTGATGACAGGACCTTTCTTGCTGGTGAGAGGGCAGCTCTGACTGACCTACTGGCAACAAGAGCAGAGATTGCTTTGAGCTGGTTCTGAGTCTAGGTGACAGAGGCATTATCTGTGGGTGGCTTGGAGGACTTCACAAATGATACCCCTGAGTCAAGTGGACCCTGCCCTGCTAGCGTCTCTGGAGTGGTGGCATTCCTCACCTATGCTCCAACTCTTGGAGCAACCAAGACCTTGCAATCTTGCTGCAGGCCCATGCTTTGTCTCTGGGTATGGTTTTCTGTGGACGGGTGTAGAACCATACATAGTATTCTTCTCTACTTAATCTTTGTTCTTGCAATTTAAAATGTTTGTATTGCTGACTGTTACTAATTTTGTCTTTTTTTTTTTTACATCAAACATTCCAAAGGTTTCTTTCATTGGTTATTTTTACTTGATCAGTTATTTAATTCTTAAAGAATATGTGAGTTTTTTTCTGGCTTTTTGAAGCTAAGCCTTTGCTTGTGTGTTCATTGTGTCTTCTCACGTTCAAAGCTGTGTGTTTCCCCACTTTTGCTGCTTGTATCCCTCCCATATGTGTATCTCAGTGCTGACAGTTGGTGCTCTATGACCTTCATTTCTGAAGGGGCTCCAGCACTATCGCCTTGCCTTTTTGAACTAGAAGTTTGTTCACAAATATTGAAGTGAGCATCCTGCTTTGGCTGCCAGTTTGCTGGTCCTTTCTTGTCCCCCTCTGGTGGCAGTCATTATGTGCTGACCTGCTCGGGGGGCTGAGCTCTTATGTCATTGATCCAGAGAGGCTGGGATGCAGCTGTTCTTCCTGTTGCCGGCTTTCTCATCCGTGGGGTAGCTGATCACATTGGCTCTGAAGCCCATCTGCTCACCTCGCAGCTCTGCCAGTGACCATCTTGTGGGTCACAAATTGCAGCTGCTCCTCGGTTTCACCTGTGGAGGAAGGGGATGACAGTGATACCTGTCACGGTCTCTGTCCTCGCTGACTGGCTTCACAGAGCAGTGGAGGGTGTTGAGCTGATGATGGCGGAATGCAGAGCAGGTGCGGGAGGTGCTCCGGGTGTGTGCACCTGTCTGGGTGGAGTCCCGCTGCGTTGTCACTGCTGCTTTGCCTGTTGGTCTCAGTCAGTCTCAGTTATATTTTGTTTGCTCTGTTGCTGGGGGGGCACAGACTGAGCTGTGTCCCTTCGCCCACTGCAGCTCCTGAACTTCACTGATCTAGACAATGTCCATGGTGCTCTGCATGTGTGATGTGAGGGGGTCGTTGTTGCTCCTTTTTATTCTTCTACTGGCTGTTCATAAGTTTTTAGACGCACTTAAACTTACATTTTAAGTCACTTAAACTTACATTTTAAATCATTTAAAGTTTTATTCCAGGTAATTTTTAAATAATTTTTAGTTTTCTAATTTTCTTCAAGGAGTTATCATTTAATTTTACTTATTTTGTTTTGGTTTGGTTTGGTTTTGTACTGGTAATCGAACTCAGGACTTTGCGTTTTAGAGGCAGGCACAGCACCACTGAGCTACATCCCCAGCCCCAATTTTACTCAAGTTTTGACACAATACTAGCAATTACTTGGGTTTAACAAGAAGTTTTTAATTTCTGTACTTTTTGGCTTTTTGAGACAGGGTCTTGCTGGCCTTGAATTCACAGCAGTCCTCCTGCCTCAGCCTCCTGAGTGCTGGGATTATAAGCGTGCACCATCACCCCAGCTAAAAGAATTTTTATAGTTTTTCTTTTGTACACTGTTGGATTTGTCCTGTCTTCCTCTTCAGTGGGTCAGTTCTGTGTCCTCACATCACACAAGAGCAGTGCATGGGTGGTAAACATTCTTAGTACTTGCATGTCAGTGTGATATTTACCGTCCCCCTCACGTTTGAGTAATTTGGGCAGATACAGAATCCTAAATTCAAAATAATTTTTCCTTGTAAACTTTCTAAATGATTCAGATGAACTGACTAGATAATACACTTTTAACACGGAGCATAAAAAGTAGAAATGGAAAGCCAGTCAGAAAAGTGCATACCACCTCACCTACATCTGCTGCTAACCCAGCACTATGGTCTAGGTTTTCTGCTGGCTGGGTGTTTGTCCATTGGCACCATGCAGAGGGTCCTGGCCAAACTACTGAGTTGGATGGGCTGTCCGTGAGCACTGTATGGTGGGTCTTGACCAGGCTGGACTATAGCTAAGTTGCAGCTCTGGAGTTGGTTCATTAGGAAACTAGGAGGCTCTCACTCACTGTGCTTCTAAATACATAAGCTGTACTTACCCCTCCACCCTCTTCCCATCAGTCTTAAGAGGTATGGCTACCACCTGACTCCACAGCTTAGCCACTAATCCATAATGGCTTGTGACCCGAGGGACAAGCTGTGGGTCAATCTTGCTGCCTCCTTGAGGGAAACCAGTTTAATGCTGAGCAGTACAAAAATATATCAGGATTGCCGACTCAGAATAATGTTTCCTAAACCAGAAATAGATGACAAGGCCTCTGTTTGTCTGTCCTCCAGGCATAAATGACACTGGTGCAGTCTCCATGGAAATTCCCCATATAGACCAGTTCCTATACTTTATAGGTGAATTGTGTCCCCACTTCAGAACTTTGTAGGACTTGCTTTGTAAACATCTGAAAATCCATCTTGGGTTTCCTGTGCTGTTCCACCTGGGACCTTGGTCTTCTGTGCTCTGTTTCTCCCCCCAGCTTCACCCTGGCTTCCTGCATTCAATTCTTTCCCCTACAGACCCACTCCTTTACCTTTGCTCAAGTCAGAAGGGTCATCTAGGCTATTCATCTCCTATTTCTCAGTCATATCTACTTCAGGTCTTTGCCTAGTCCATGCAGCCCCTAGCTTTGAGAGTTCAGCTTATTCTCACTCACTCTGAATTCTGCTTGAACCTGTCTGCCAAGAGAAGCCTTCCCAGAGTAGCCTCTGCCGTCGTATGTCGCCTGATTGTGTGTTTACCCACGTAGGCTCTGCCAAGCCAGTACAAACAGTAGGGCTGGCAGCTCTGGGAGACAGCATTCTGCCTTCAAGGAACTTACAGCTGGTGGAGAGGCTGGGTCACATGCTGTGTGGCAGGAGGGAGAATGTCAGGGACACAGCATGCGCAAACAAGGAAAGAGAAGAGCAGAAGCAAGTAGAGCAGGCCTCCCAGGGCTGCCGAAGTGGAAGAGGGCAGGGAAGCCCAAGCAGGGCAGGCAGTAAAGTCAGGAAGCTCTGTGGCAGGTGAACCTCCTGTGAACCCTTAAGAGGGGAGATGCAGCAGGAGTCCAAGGTCACAGCACTCACCTGCAGGTTGCTGCATGCCGTGGCTCTGCATGAGTAGCTGTGGGGCCACAGTGGCCTTATGAGCCTGGGCAGGTATCTAGCAGTCTTGAGCAAGTACAAGAAACAATGAGTTTGGGACATGTTTGAAAGCTACCTGTGGAACTTGCTGGTGCCAAGGCCCAGGCTTACTTGGCTCCTGCCAGGCTGAGATGGAGCTTATCCTCTTACTGGCATTCAGCGCATAGCAGTGAGCCACAGAAACAACGCAGGTCCTGCCTGCAGTTCACTGCATTCAGAAAAAAACTATACTTTTTTTTTTGGTACTGGAGATCAACTCCAGACCTTAATGCTTGTGAGGCAGGTGGAAGCACCACTGAGCTAAATCCCTGGCCTCAAAATTATACTTTTGAGATTTTTCTCAGATCCATGATGGGACTTCTGGAGGTCAGCTGCACACAGTGCCCAGCGCTATCCCATGCTGCACGTGGCCATGATAGCAGGCTCCTCCATTGTTTTTCAGTGTTCACCCGGGTTCCAGAGGTGCCAAGCATCTCTAAGTATTTCTTGGTTCCTTCACTTACTCCCTGTTTGTTCTTTGTCCGCTTTTCGTTGTGCAGTCTTTTTCTCACGGTGTAGGGATGACAGCCCTGTCACTACATTGCAGGATTCTCTGTCCTGTACCCTTGGCCTTCTTCGTGGGCCCATTGTACAGTTTTTAAATTGGACTTTATTAAATTTATTGGTGTTTTCTATCCTAAATTCTTCCCCACCCTCAGGCCATGAATATGTTCACCCACAATTTTTTGTAAGATATTTTAGTTTTGCTTTTCACAGTCAGGCTCTAAGCCACAATTGAGCTGGTTTGTGTGGGAGGAGGGGAAGTTGTCATACTGCTGACAGTGAACTAGATGACTTGAGCATTTACTTGTGGGCCTCTCTGACAGCAGGGCTCTGCAGGTCTGTTCTGGTCCACAGGTCTGCTGCCTCCCAATGTGCGCAAACCACACATACCTCATTGAGGTGCAGTTACTTATTTCACCTGAGTTGTGATTTTTAGTAGGGCAAGTATCCCTACATTTTTCTAATTCAGTGTCCTAATGCCGGGGAGGCTGATGCAGGAGAATCACTTAGGCCCAGGAGTTCAAGAACAGCCTGGGAAACACAGACCCTCAACTCAAAAAATAAGTAACAAAAAGAACTGTCTTGATAATTGTGGGACTTTGATCTTCCACCTAAAAATTAAAACCCACTGCTGAGTTTGCTGGACAATTCCAATGGAAGTTCTTTCAGTGTCTCTAGAGAACAGGATGAGGCCCAGGTGGACCCGACACCCATCATCAGCTGCTGTATAGCCTGTCAGTGGGCATAGCACAGCCTCAGGCTACGTCTGCAGTCTCCTCACTACGGGTCCGTGTTCCTGCACGTGCCGGCTCCACTTCAGGCTGGCTGGCACATGGCGCTAGTTGCTTGCTTGAGTTCTGGCTTCCTTCAGCTTCCTTCGAGGACGAGCTCCTGAGGCTTGGGGACTCCCACTAGGAGTCCTCCTTTAGTTTGGAAGTTCTCAAGGGTATATGCGATAGCTATTCTCCTTTGGATTGGAATTCTGGTGGGCTTCAAGGCCTAAACGGATGGGGTCAGCCTGACCCTGGCAAGGTAGCTCAGCTCAGTGACCCCAGTCTGCCGCACTCAGGGCACATAGCCAGCCCCTTGTGGAAGGTTAGGGTTAGGGTTAATGCTTTCCTTCCCCACTGGGTTTTTTCATTAATCTTTTTTCTGGATACCTGCTTTATCTTGAATTAATCTAGTTGGGTCAGCTTTCTTTAAGTTAATATTTACTTGATGTTTCGGTTTCTTAAAATTTTTTTTACAAACCAAACCAGAAATTCTTCTTAATTGACAAGTTATTTTATACTTCCTGTGATCGCTGCTAAATTTGAGTTGATTTCTGCTTTACTTTATACTTCTCACTAGTGTGTCTTTTTCTCTGCTTCCCTGTTTCACACAGGTGGTGCTGTTGGTACCAGGAAATTAGTAAATTTTCTTTAATCTCTTTTTTGCCTCTGCTTCTGTCTCTTGTTGGTTACAGAGTCCTTAAATGAACATTTACATCTGGAAAAGTCCCGACATATAATGTAAGTCTGCAGCTCACACCCTCACACCCCAGCTGTGACAGGGCCCCACTTTCCTTGGCAGTCTCACATTGTGCATCAGTATCTGTCCTCCTGAACTGTGGTTTTGGTTTTTCTTTTCTTTTTTTTTTTTTGCAGTCTGAAAGCTGACCTTGAACGCACTATAGAGCCCAGGCTGGCCTCGACCGCATGCCAGTTCTCTTGCCTTAGACTCCTGAGGGCTGGGATTACAGGCATGCGCCACCATGCCCAGCTTGGATTGTGTCTTTCTATAGTTGCTTGTAGACAGCTTTACTTTATTACAATTTGTAAGCATCATTTAGTTTTTTGTCCGGGTTGTGGAGCCTCTGCTGTCTGGGCCTCTGCCGACCCTGCTGGGAACCACCTTTCAGGGAACATTTAAGTTGGGTGTGTGTCTCTTTTTATTTAATTTTGCTTCCTAAATCTGAGGGTACTGAATCTAAGGATTTGTGTCTTTCGTTGTTTTTGGGAAATCCTTAATCATTCTTCCCTAAATTTCACCTTCCTTTATTTTCTGTTCCTTCCCTCGGAGCGCCTATCCTGAGTTTATTGGACTTGTCAGTCTGTGTTCCTTGCTCTGGGCTTTGCTTTGTTCTTTTAATTGGTATCTTTGTCTTCTGTCTCTATGCTACTTTTTTTTTTTTTTTTTGGTGGGGGGGT